ATATAGGCAGACACAAAGGTAACTCATACAGATACAGACTCTCGTCCGAGGGTAATGTGATGCTCAGAGTAAAGCTGCCAGCATTTATAACTAGTCATCACTGGACTGGAGTCCACTTTTACAGATGAAGATTTATACACGAAAGTGAACGATGAGTAAAAAAAGCTACATAGCTTTGGATATTATCTGACATCCATGGCACGTTTACAGCAAGTTTTACTTGACAAGATTCACAAGACCTCCAAACATTTTGTAAAACAGCCTTAATCAATGAACAAGCAGACATGGCTACATTACATGCCTGTTCATTTATTCACAATTTACATGTGTGTACTACCATTAGGTCTGCTATGCAGGCCATATATTCCTATGTGTGGAGATCCAACAAAACAAGTTCCTGTGCACTCAAAATTTCATTTTATATGGAAAAAAAATGAAACTAAGTGTGTAAGTGAGACAATCTTCAAGAGAGAAAAGTAGAGAAAGTAAAAGCTACAATCAAATATAAAGTTGGGCATTAAAGATTCTAATACAACCAAAATTGTCCCCATAAGTGAGTCGTCTTTGCAATACTGCAATGCTCTTTGCACAAGTCAAAACTGGGAAACTTACAAGGGAGAGGTATGAGGGAATTCACAAGCCTAGAGCAGGAAATTCAAAATGCCGGCCTGAGCCAACATCTGATGAAGACCCTACGATGCATCACCCAGGGAAAGGAGTAGATGCATTCAGTCCTGTCTGTCTGCTGCATCACATATTCAGTGGTAGAAGCAGCCTGGAACTGAATTCGCTACCAAGGCCAGTTCCAGGCCAACAGGCCAGAGCCTACTCAGAGAGCAATTCCCATTAAGCCCTCAAAAAGTCATTCACAAGACAGAACACACAGTCCAAAACAAGAAAAGTTTTGCATTTGTATCTAAATCAAAAAAAAAAAAGAGCTGCCTCAATAGGTATGAGGATTAACTCAAGTTTCAGTATTCTCCTTGTTTTATGTGATGAAGCCTTCTATGGTATTAAGACTAAAATTTGCCTTTTAAGTTAATTGCTACAATAATGTGTTCAAAATATTTTATTTTGTGCATCCAAACAAAAATATTAAACCTAACAAATATATACTCATTAATGTTTCTCAGTCTAAGACCTGCACATTAACTGGATAAATCAATGCCAACTAAAAGCCTACAGTGAGATGAATGGTAAGGCAGTTTGCTTTTAATAACACAAACTGAAGCAAAATTTACTGATTAGCAGAGCTGAGCACTTTAGTAGAAAAGTGATGGTTTTCTAAACAGTTACCAAGTGAGTACCTCAAAAGTTATCCTGAATTCTGAATAACAATATAAGTAACTAAAATATACCAAAATGTCAACTACTTGAAAACTAGAGTAAAACACGCGGCTGCTCCTCAGGTACCAACATAAAGAGTGGATGGATGCGCAGAGGATCACAGAGCGACTTTACGAAAGCTAACTAACGCTAGGCGTTCAAATTCAGTATCGAAAAGCTTCATAGATTCAGTCTTTCATTCAAGCTTAAAAAGGCTTCTCTTTTGTTAAAGTGTTTAGGATTTTTAACATTCACGTAACCCAAAAGTACCTATCTCTGTGGATGTGTGTTTTTAAAAAGCTGAGGGTAAATTCAGTAATTCAGTATTGATGGGGACTGACAGCTTTCTCACAGATTGTGGTAGGGATTTTAAAGGAAACGACCGCGGCTGTAAAGTAAGCAGGGCGACATTGTTGAGTTATTCTCTGTTGTGCTGCACCCCATTGAACTCGGTGTCTTCAAGCTGCAGCGAGGACTTGCAGCTCAAATTCTGGTTTAATCGCAAAAATCGGAAAGTTTCTGTTTACACCCCATTGCCTTCCAAAAGTTTCCTCGCTCTAATGTGTGCTAACAATGGCAACACTGCCATCTAGTGTGTTAGGACAGCTCTCCAACATTTTTACTAGAGAACACTGCCAAACAGTCCCCTGTGGGTAATGAGTGATAATAAGTGTAATGGGATACACTTTCAACGGGGTATGGCACTCAACACCTGTAAATCCCCGTGCTCCAGGAAGACAGAGACAGTGCGTTTAAAGAAATTCTGACAGAATATGCCAAAGGTACTAGAACTAACTAAGGGTACAAACAATTACAAAAATCAATTATATCATATATATATATATATATATATATATATATATATAAAGGTAAAAGAAGTAAAATATTCCCAACAGTTTTGAAACAAAATACATGAGGACTGTCGTAGCCAGGGTTTCTATTGCTGGGATGCACACCATGACCAAAGGCAACATGGGGAGGACAGGGTTCGTTTTGCTCACACTTTCACACTGTAGACCGTTCACCATGGAAGTCGGGTCAGGGTTTCAGTACTGCGGGAATCCGGAGGCAGGAGCCACTGCAGACATCACGGAGATGTGCAGCTTACTGGCTGGCTCAACCTGCTTTCTTATAGCACCTAAGACCACAGACACAGGGTGGTCGGGGACCCACAGTGGATCCTCCCCCACAGAGTACTACATAAGAACGTGCCCTAAAGGCCTGCTGCACCCCAATCTTAAGGACACATTTTCTCAGTTGAGGCTCCCCTATCAGTTGACTCTAGCTTGTGTGGAACAGACATAAAACTAGTCAGCATAGGGATAAATCTGGCAGAGAGACAGATACATAATTAAAACTATAAAATATCTCTAAGATAAATGAAAGAAAATTTAGAAAGAAAAAGACACGCCGTTTCCTTAAGTAAAAAGACTTAAATTTCCCCCAAATTCACCTATAAACTCCTCAAAATTCTAAAGAAGCGTTTTCATAGCTGCTTCTCAGAATACCACATTCATAAGTAGAAATTTTCATTTAAATTCAACTCGGGCCTCTCATCTGACTCGCGCATACTGAATTTGTCTTTTCTGGCCTGGATTATCTCACTTGGGATGGCTGTTTCAGGCTCCATCCATTTACCTGAAATTTTAATAATTCTTAACAGCTAAAAAGCATCCCATTGGGTGATGGACATCTAGGCTGCCTCCAATGGCTATTATGAACAGAGCAGCAAGGAGCACGTAGGAGAACGCGTCCCTGGACTTAAGGTCTGGAATACTTTGGGGCGTATGCCCAAAAGTGGTACAGCTGGGTCTTGAGGAGCTGGAATCCCAGTTCCTGAGGAACCTCCACACTGATTCCCACAGGGGCTATTCCAGTCTGCACACGCATCGACCAGCAACAGCTAAGTGCCCCTTCCCACCCTCAAGCCCACGTGCTGACATAGGTTTTACTAAACTTGGCCATTCCGACTGATGTTGAGAAAAGAAAATGCCAAACCTGTTTTAAAATCCCAGCCCTGACCAAGAAGCTGTGTGCCATGGACACTCGCGGGGACAGGAGGAGCAGTTTCCTCCAATGCAGCATATCTGCATATCTCTTCCACACTCCTGGAGCCTGCCCCGGAGCAGTTGGAGACTCAGAACAAACGCCCACCTTTTGGTTTTCTATTTGGGGCTTTTTGTTTTGTTTTGGACGCTTTTTCTTTGTCTTCTTGCTTTTGGTCTTTGTTCTGATTTTTGGTTTATTTTGGTATTTTTTGAAAGGAAACAAATATGAAGTTGGGTAGAGAGGGAGGTGGGGAGGGTACAGGAGGAGTTGGGGACAGGAAGAACATAATCAAAATATACCATATGATAAAAATTAATTTACCAGAAAGTGATCTTTCTAGAAAATTACGTTTTAAAGGGTGAGACATGTCCAGACATGATGGCATGTGTGATACAAAATAGCAGACCTTTAAGACATAATACGATCGTCCTGGCTCGTTGGTGTGTTTGCAGGCTTGTGTGTTTGGATTTGCTAAAGCTGACACAAGACAAAGTCACCTGGGAAGAGGAAACCTCAGCTGAGAAAATGCCTCCATTAGATCAAATCTTTAGAAGTCTGTGGGGCATTTCTTGATTAATGACTGCTTATGAGTGCCCCGCCCACTGTGGGCGGTGCCGCCCTGCAGCAGTCCCGCCCACTGTGGGCGGTGCCAAGCTGCAGGAGCAGTCCTGGGTTGTATAAACATCAGGCAAGACCTGTGGAGAGAGAGCAGGAAGCAGCATCCTCCATGGGCTCCACTTCAGTTCCTGCCTGCAGCAACCTGCCTTGAGCCCCGCCCTAACCTCCCTCAGTGGTGGAGTGTGGCCTGAGAGTTGTAAGTTGAAATAAACCCGCTCCTCCCCAAGCTGCTTTTGAACATGGTGTTTTAACACGGCAAATGAAAGCAAAATAAAACAATCATGAAAACCAATCATTGACTAAAAATGCTAAACAAGAAACATACAGGTGACATGCATGTGTTAAAAGATTGTCGATACTGTTAAAAATGAATGAAAAAAGTAACAGTTAGATTTCTTTGCATAACTACTAGAATAGCTAGAATTTAAGAGGCTAACTGCAAAATCCTGTTGAGAGAGGCAGAAGAGCTGAAAATCTTTATATTCATGGCAAGAACCTGATGGTGCACACACTGTGGAAGGAATTCACCTGACTCTGAGAAGCTAAACAAGCAAATGGAAGTAACTGCCGACAGGAAATCACTGCAGATTTGGAGAAAGAGCAAAGCTGTAACTCATAAACAGTCTATCCTAAATTTTATTTCTTCAAATTTTTAAAATTACATTAAGATTATAGGAGTTTATTTGAACCCTACCTTTTGTTCATGTGCAGAACATGAATAATTTTAATTTATTTATATTTAGTTTACTATTTAGGGTAGGAAAAAATACACCACACACAATTAAGAGAGTACCACAAATAGACATTAACTTTCTTAGCAACAAATTATGGAAGTATAAAGTTTAAGAAGTACGAAGGATAAGACTATTATAGTCTTAAGAAAATTTTAAAATAAAAAAAAAATGGGAACCAGATTAACTAAAATAGTAATGAAGCCATAGCTACTCATTTGCCTGAAGCTAATAATATAAATCAATTACTATGAATAAAAACATACAGCTACTTACAATAACACGTCCCCCTAAGTGGATTACCAACATAGCGGTTTTCAGAGTCGCATCTGTAGAAACACAAAGAAGTCACTCACTACTAAATAATATAAATATGTTAAAGCTATATCATAAATTGAATTTTTAAAAATAAACTTGCAAAGTAATCGAGTGCATAAATCCTAAGGATAAATAACCATGAGTGAACAGAAAACAAAGACCACCAGCCTAAGTGACTGGACCCAACAGACCACCCAGAGACAGTTTGTGACCAGAGTGTCTGGCGACTTACCGGTCTTTACTAAGGCAGCAAGTTCTTAACAGTCATTTTAAGTATGAAAAAGGAAGAACATTCATAAAACCCTATTTCCTTCTGTGTAGTGTTATCTGAAAGTAAAACACCTCCCGGTTTTATGCAACAATGAACCCTTACTTTCAAAAATTAATCCTCAGAGTACATCTATTATCAACCTCTGTCCTACATGAACATAAGTGCACACACATACACACACACACACAGCTGTACACATATGGGAACATACATGAGCACACACACGCATATATCATATATTGGTATTCCCTCTCATGTACGTGTATACATGCACACACACATGATCTAAAATGAAGAGCTTGAATCCGTGAACTGACATTACGTTATTAAAAATGGATACATATGAAATCTAAGTTAAATACTTTGAAACCAATAACAACAGAGAAACTTAACGAATTTTTCAAAAAATTTTATTTTTTCATGTCCTGTTTCCACAATAAAACTGAAATGATTATCGGTACCAGTCGGTCATACAGTGTTTATTTGCATAATTCTATTTCTTGAAATGCCTTTCCAAAACAAAATTTATAAAATACATGTACTGTAAGCAGGGAATGCTGTGGAAGGGAGGAGGATCAGGGAGTTTGCTATAAGACTGAGTCTCCTGCTAATGTCAAATGTCTCATCCACAGCGGCCATGCCAAAGTGGCTGAGAGTCTTACTTAGGGCTTCCACCGCTGTGAGGAAAACCAGGGCCAAAGCAACGAAGGGACGAAGGGGTTTATATGGCTTTCACTTCCAAAACCATTCATCATGGAAGGAAGTCAGGGCAGGAACTCAAACGGAGCCCAAACCTGGAGACAGGAGTTGATGCAGAGGCCACGGAGGGGAGCTGCTTGCTGGCTTGCTCCCCTGGCTTTCTCAGCCTGCTTCCTTATAGAACCTAGGACCACCAGCCCAGGGACAACACCATCCATAATGGACTGGGTCATCCTACATCCATTAGTGGTGTTCACACACGCTGTGAGATCACGAAGGGCAATTTCCTCTAAGCTTTATGGCATCTAACAAAAGCCACGCAAGTTTACGAGTCTTAGAATCGCTAGGCTTCACACTTGAGAGTCGTTTATACATTTATACATTTACACATGGCAGCTTCTCACCAAGCTCCACATTTTCCCAACGGACCACAGCTGTGATTCTCAGGGATCACCCTAGCACATCAGGACACTACCCCACATGCCATCAGAATCGTGGCATGTAGTGCCAAGTGACGGTCATCCAAATCTGAACTCTCATCACGATGTTCCTTACCTAGAGACACTATGAACAGCAAGCACCTTGGATGGGATCACCTCAACAGAGGACAGAAGGACCTGGAGGTGCTTATATTCATAGAGAGTGACAGAGGCAGCCTTAAGGACAGAGCAAAAAGTTCCATGGCGTACGTGTCACATTTTTATTTATCCATTTGTTTGGGCTGTTCCATCTCCTAGATACTGTGATAGCGTACATCCATGTGGCAAGTAGGTAACGTACTCCCTCAGGCACACACCCCAGAGAACAGGTGGGTTATATGACAGCTCTGAGGGTAGCTTATGAGGAAATTCCTTACCAATTTCCTTCATGACTACACAAGTTTACACTCCCATCAGCAGCCAATCAGGGTAATTTTTTCTTCATATCCTTGCCAGCATCTGCCATCATGAGTTTCTCTGATAGTGACGTTGGCTGCAGAGAGCTGGACACTAACACTTTCCTGATGGCTAAGGAGGCTTCTACTTTGTGAAGTGTTTGTTAGCCATCTGTATTTCTTCAACTGTTGAGTCCATGGAGTTGCTTTTGTTAGAAAGTTACCAATTTTTACCATTTATCTTGGGAAAAGGACAGATTGAGCATTGTCATGACTGTGACAATGTGACTACTTTGTATCCTTTTAAACAGATTGTCTTATGATTTGTTTATTGGATACTTCATTCCTTTGTTGAGATTGGGTAGCCAAGACTGGCCTTCAATTCACTATGTAGGTAAGACTGGCTAAATGTGTATTTTAATCACAATACTCATGCTTGGTCTAACAGTGAGGGTCAAGGATTTGTATTTTAATGAGGCTTTTCCTTCTTTCGTCCTTTAATAAGGGGGAGGACAATATTCTCTCCATCTCTCTACATCCATAAGCAGACACTGAAAATGCTAGGACCATGGTTTTTTGTTTTGTTTTGTTTTGGGTTTTTTTTTTCTTTTTTGGTTTTTCGAAACAGGGTTTCTCTGTAATGCTTTGGAGTCTGTCCTGGAGCTCACAGAGATCTGCCTGCCTCGACCTCCCGAGTGCTGGGATTAAAGGCGTGTGCCACCAACACCTGGCAACCATGTCCATTTTTTATGTTTTTTGTTGTTCCTGCTACTACTTCCACTTCATCTGCTGTCTTCTTCAGCTGGCCCAATGTTATTCTTCCCACATAATCCAACACAAGTACACTGTGCTGAGAATGTCTTCATCCTTAGTGAATCCCACCTCAGACGTCACAAAGAACAATTAATGCAGCTGCTGAGAGTTTTGAGACAGATGCCATGAACTGGGGGTTGTTCATTCAAATAAAGGGCATAGACAAATGTAGTGATACACATACACACACACAAGACACACACACACACACAAGACTGTAGCACTGACCACGCCTTTTGGGGTGTAGTCATGGGTGAGGACATGACCAGTTAAAAGGAAAAGGATTGGGGCTTGGAGTCATTAGGGTCATGGACAGCATCAGGTGGCAGGGTCTGCATCCTTGGAGCAGGAGCCTGAGACAGGCATTTGTTTCCTATGCAAGTTCTGTTCTCCTAATAAACTCTACTTCATCTTACTGGGTCAAACATCCTGATTTCCATGCCCATAGACAAATAGACGACTACATGGCCAATGCAAGCAATGACTGGGAGCCAAAAAGAACAAATATTCACTTGGGAAACTTACAAAAATATATGGCATTTCCTGACACATTTAAAGAAAAATGGAATTTATCCTTGAAAGAAATGATTCGTGGTATTCTAGGTCATTAAACATAAGAAATCTGTGTGTTTCACTGTGGTGAATACAATACTAATAGCATGTAAGATATTTTAGCAAAGCCCTCATCTATTTTGCTTACTAATGCCATGCACTAATTTAAGCACAGTTTGCTTATTTAGATGACTATCTCTGCTTCTAATAAAAGCATTTTCGCATATAACCACAATATAACAAATAATTATTTTCAAAGTGATGACCTTATTTTTATTACCTCCAATTCAAAAGTTAAAAATGTACTGAACAGCCACTTGAGATTCCTCTATTGAGAATTGTTTTGACCTGTATCCCATTTTTAATTGGGCTATTTGGTTCTTTGACAGCTAGTTTCTTGAGTTCTTTATATATTTTGGGTGTTACTTCCCTATTGAATATGGAGTTGATAAAAATCTTTTCTCTCATTCTGTGGACTACTCAACCATTTAAAAAATGACATCATGGCCAGGCGGTGGTGGCGCACGCCTTTAATCCCAGCACTCAGGAGGCAAAGGCAGGCGGATCTCTGTGAGTTCTGGGCCGGGCTGGACCGACAGCCTCCAAAACAATACAGAGAAACCCTGTCTCATAAAACCAAAAAAAAAAAAGACATCATGAAATCTTTAGGTAAATGGATACATCTAGAAAAAATATCATCATGAGTGAGGTAACCAGACCCAGAAAGACAAATATGGTATATATTTACTTACAAATAGATACTACATGTTAAGTAAATGATAATCAAGCTACAGCCCACTGACCCAGAGAGGCTAGATAAAGAAGAGGGCTCCAGGGGGAACTCATGGACCTCCCTGGGAAGGAGAAATAGATCCTGCAGGTGGACTTGGGGCAGGTAGAGACAGGAGTAGGAGGCACTGGAGGGAGAGATAGCTGGAACTGCAGGTCATTTGGGGGATGGTGTGGAAACCCAGTACGGTGACAGTTTCCTGGAATCTATGAAGGTGACTCTAGTGAGGACTCCTAGTAATGGAGGATGACGGGGAATGTCCTTCTGTATGCTGTGATTATATGTCTCTCTTATTGGTTCATGAATAAAGATGTTTTAGCCAACGGACAGGCAGGATTTAGTCAGGTAGGAAATCCAAACAAGGACAGAGAGAAGAAATCAGTAGAGATGGAGAGACGCCATGTAGCTACCGGGAAGGCAGGATGTCCGGGCATTCTTCGGTAAGTCAAGACCATATGGAGATACATAGATTAATAGGAATTGGTTAATAATTAAGAGAGAGCTAGCCAATAAGAAGCCTGAGTCATCAGTCAAACAGTTTATAATTAATATAAGCCTCTGTGTGTTTATTCGGGACTACATGGCCACAGGACCAGGTGGGACAGAAACTTCGGTGAACATGAGGATATGGAGTCAAAACTGGCCATCTTTTATAGCCAGACTAAGCTTCCAGTGGTAGCACTGGATTGCATTTGGGTGAGTTGTTGGGCGCAGTCCTGTGGCGATCCCTGTACAACACAGGCTGATGATAGAACAACATTCTTTCAGCTCACTGAACATAGAGAGATGGAGCTGGTGCCTTCAGCCCAACATTCTAGTCTCTTTGGCATGGGAAAGTATTCTGTAAGCTACTGAAAGAGAAACCTAGACATCAAGCCAGCCACAAAACCCTTGACCTGCAATCTGTCCATCCTGAAACCCTTGACCTGCAATCTGTCCAGCCTGAAAGTCTTGACCTACAATCTGTCCATCCTGAAACCCTTGACCTGCAATCTGTCCAGCCTGAAAGTCTTGACCTACAATCTGTCCATCCTGAAACCCTTGACCTGCAATCTGTCCAGCCTGAAAGTAATGCTGGAGCAATGGTGGCGCAGCACTTGTGGGAGTGACAAACCAATGTCTGGCTTAACTTGTGGCCCATGCCACCAGAGGGGTCCCACTCCCTGAATGGCTAGGATCCAGAGACTAGACAGCCTAGAGACCTCAGGTAGAAACAAGCATAACTGACCCAAAACAGAAAACAAACTCAATGAAAAGATTCCCAATGATTTTCCAGCCATCAGAGAGACTTCCTCTGGCAACAGACAGGAGTAGACGCAGAGACACACAGCCAAATATTACGTGTGGAATCTAAACTGGAGGTCTCCATTGGGTCCCTGCCTTCAGAGATCAGGGAATCCCACAGAAGAAGGGGAGGAAAGATCGTAGGAGCCAGAGGGAATGGAGGCCACCAGGAGAGCATGTGCCCCATGGGATTAACTAAGAAGGGCTCACCTGGGCTCACAGAGATGGGAGCAGCAAGCACGGGGGCCGCAGGGCTCTCCACCACACCCTCTGTGTGTATGTTATGTTATTCGCTTCGTGGTCTTGTGGGACTCCTAACAGTGGGAACAAGTGTGACTCTGCCTCTTTTGCCCAATCTTGGGACTCTTTTCCTCCTCTTGGGTTGCACTGTCCAGACTCTGTATGAGAGCTTTGCCTTGTCTTATTATTACAGCTTGTTGTCCCTCTTTGGTTTTTGTCTCTTGGAGCCCTGCTCTTTTCTGAAGGGAGACAGACGGGGAGTGGGATCTGGGAGAGGAGGAGGTGGAGAGGAACTGGGAGGAGTGATGGGAGGGGAAACTGTGGCCAGGATGAGAGAAGAACCTATTTTCAATCTTTAAAAGAAAAATAAATATATAAATGCACTTGCATTAAAAAACAGTACTGAACAGAATCACATCTATATATACTATCTACAAATTTTTCTTTACAAGTCACGCACGTTAGATCAAAGGCAAAATATATATTTGTCATTCAAAACTATGTATTTTATATAAAATGTAGATGTGTGACCCACTACCTAAACTGAGAAGCTCAGCTCATAAGTAAACAAAAATAATGCTGTCTTTTGTCTAAAAACAAAAGCGTGTTCTTAAAATGCCAATTATAGAATAAGTAACTGTCAAAGTGCTATATGGTTGAATCACTTATGAAAAACTGCAATAATTATGTTCAGTTCACAATCATAGTTGCAACTAACATTTTTCCTTTGTCTAGGATGCCATACCCTGGATCCACGGGTGTTACCTTCATTGCTATAATGAAGCAATGGTGCTTACGACCTGGTATAAAATTTGAAGAAGTGGATGAGAATGCCGCAAGGTTTAAACACAGTTCTCCTTCTGTCTACAAAATTAGTAAGATGGTCAAACCGTAAAGTCTCCTAAGCAGGGGTCTGTGAGGATTTACTAGCCTCATGACCAAAAAGCTGGATCTACTTAGGAAACAAGTAGTACTGTTACAAAATATCAGGGGCATCCCTGCTGGCACAGAGTGTAAGCCTCGGGATTAGCTCACTGCTCACAAGGCCCCAGCAGTCCGCCTGATAGAAATTGACTTTTAACTGTAGGGATTACAGAGAGAGACTAACTGGCTATTCAAGGCTTCTCTGAACTTGAAAGCCCATGGTAGTCAAAGTTATCAGATAAAAATAAGTGAAAGTTGGTTTCTGTGTTTGAGATTCTTTAGATATAAATTTAAATATGTACAATTTAGAGAATTCTTTATTAAAATTTTCTTGATAGTTACATATTTAATATAATTGAAACATGTTTTTTCTAAAATAATATACACTCATGAAAAATAAACATGTATGTGTACCTAGTTGATATGAAGCCATACAAATCTGATTTTAATATAATATACATAAATAAAATTAAGGAAAGAAAAACAATTTAAATGTATTATCTTTTAAAGTCATATTTGGTGAATACCTTTTCCTATTCTGTGGGCTGCCTTTTTTCTTGTTGACTGTGTCCTTTGCCTTACAGAAGCCTCTCGGTTTCTGTATTAATTGTGCTCAGTGTCTGTGCCCGTGGTGTTATATTCAGGGAGCGGTCTCCTGTACCAATTCGTTCAAGGGTACCTCCCACTTTCTCTTCTAAGAGATTCAGTGTCGCTGGGTTGATGTTGAGGTCTTTGATCCATTTGGACTTACATTTTTGTTCATGTCTATAGTCATGGATCTATCTGCAGTCTTCTACACGCCAGCATCCAGTTATGCCAGCACCATTTGTTGAAGATGCTTTGTTTTTTCCATTATATGGTTTTAGCTTCTTTGTCAAAGATCAAGTGTTCATAGGTGTGTGGGTTAATATCAGGGTCTTCAATGTGATTCCATTGATCTACCTGTCTATTTTTGTGCCAATACCAAGCTGTTTTCAGGACTACAGCTCTATAGTAGAGCTTGAAGTTAGGGATAGTGATGCCTCCTGAAGTTCCTTTATTGTACAGGGTTGTTTTGGCTATCGTCTTTTGTTTTTCCAAAGAAATTGTCCTTTCAAGGTCTGTGAAGAATTGTACTGGGATTTTGATAGGGATTGCATTGAATCTGTAGATTGCTTTGGGTAAGATTGCCATTTCTACTACGTTGATCCTACCTACCCAAGAGCATGGGAGATCTTTCCATTTTCTGGTATCTTCTTTAATTTCTTTCTTTAAAGACTCAAAGTTCTTGTCATACAGGTCTTTCACCTATTTGGTTAGCATTACCCCAAGATAATTTATGTTGTCTGTGGCAATGGTAAAGGGTGACGTTTCTATGATTTCTTTCTCAGCCCCTTTATTGTCTATATATAGTATAACTACTGATTTTTTTTTTTTAGTTAATCTTGTATCCTGCCACTTTGCTGAAGGTGTTTATCAGCTGTAGGAATTCCCTGGTAGAATTCTTCGGATCACTTACATAGACTATCATATGATCTGTAAATAGTGAAAGTTTTACTTCTTCCTTTCCAATTTGTATCTCCTTGATCTCCTTTTGTTGTCTTACTGCTCTAGCAAGAATTTCAAGTACAATATTGAACAGATATGGAGAGAGTGGACACCCTTGTCTTGTTCCTGATTTTAGAGGAATTGCCTTGGGTTTCTTTCCATTTAGTTTGATGCTGGCTGTCAGTTTGCTGTATATTGCCTTTATTATGTCTATGTATGTTGCTGTTATCCCTGATCTCTCCAGTAAGCAACCCTCAATGTTCTCTGCTTCAATTCCTGTCTCCAGGTTCCTGCCTTGACTTCCTGCCTATGTTTCCCCCATGATGGAAAGTAAAAATGTAAGATAAAGTAAACCCTTTCCTTCCCAAGTAATAAAAAGAAGTTACTTTTGGAAGGTAATAAATATTAAGAATAACTAAATGATAGAAAAAAGTCACTCATAAAGTACAGAGACCAAAATACTGAGTTCCTATGTAATGAACGCTCTAGAAAAAAAGCTGTGAGTTCAGTGACACAGATGTGGATGGCAGAACTCATGTACATACATGTCAGGTGTGAAGCCTTTGACCCTTTCAGCAGTGACACAGGTGTGAACCCCAGAACCACACACACACACACACACACACACACACACACGTCAGGTTGGTGCCGTGTTCTCTGACAGCTGTCTCTAAAGGCTCTGCTCCAAGCCATTAGGAGAATGTCATCTTTAAACATCTATACTTTCAAAGGATTTGATAATATGTACATGAAAAGACCTTACAGTTATTTAAGCTTAACTAACATAATGCAACATCCAAAAATAAAACGTAAAAAATTAGTCTCACAACACAAAATTCATAAAAGTTCCAAAAGTAGTCCTTTATACTTACAATTGGCATTGGTCACCTTTTATCCCTTTAGTGGTGCAGAAACATTTTCCTGTGTGCAGATGACAAATATTTGCATGGCCACTGCATGTGCAAGCTGTAAGTCAAAAACCAGCATAGTATCATTAGTATCTTATGTTAGGAGGGTACGTCATAGAAACTAAGTTTGTCACTTAATGTACGATCCCTAGGAGTGTCCTGTTTCTACCAAGTTCCTAAGGAGTTCTCTAATTAATTCCCTCTGAGCTTCTGCTTGTGATCTGACACAGTAGGGTCATGAATGAAGAGCTTAAAACAACAGCAGGTGTAGTGGTGCACACTCTAGTCCCAGCACGTGAGAGAGGCACGGTGCACACCTCAACCCCCTCTTGCGGGAAGTGAAGACATGGTGCACACCTCCAGCCCCCTCATGTTCGGCGGGGGGGGGGGCACATGGTGCACACCTCCAGTCCCCTCATGTTGGGGGTGAATACATGGTACACACCTCCAGTCCCCTCGTGTCGGGGTGAACACACAAATCTCAGTTTTCTCTTCAATGTTTCCTAACACAGCTGCCTAAACAAGACCTGAGCAACAATGAAGACACCGGCAGATTGAGCTAACACAAAGCTCATGGGACCTCAACCTTAGACAAACCGGCAACTACGAAATGCTGAAAGTGGGGGAGAGAGTCTTCCCCAGGAAAGAGCCCCCCAAATGTTTATTAATGCAACGTAGTCAGGCCTGAAATCATGACTATGAAGCTGCAACAATAAATTCAGACCGTAGTGGTGAAACTGCAGGACAAGGCATAGAAGGAGAGACCGAGTCCACACGCTCAGGAGCTCAGACAGCTAGGCAGGCGTGGGGGAAGAACGGGCTGGTCCTGCACACCAGTCACAGAAGTCATCACACTGAACAAAAGGCCTACATTTAAGGTTTAAAAGATCCCAAAACAGAAAATTCAAGCAAGTGTTTCTGACGTTATTTGGGCAATTATTTTGACATTGTGGTAATTTAAATAAGAAATGCTCCCATGGGCTCGTGGGTGGGTGTGAACACTAGGTCTCCCATCGATGACAGGGTGGGAGGTTCTGGGACTTCAGGAGGTGCAGCCTTGCAGAAGGAAGAAGGAATTGCACAGGAGGCGGGACTTCAGGAATTATATCCTTAATGCAACTGCTGGTTGCACTCTCACCCTCTCTCTCTCCCAGTCTCCATCTCCGTCTCCCTCTCCCTCCCTCTCTCTCTCTCTCTCTCTCCCCCTCTCCCTCTCCCTCTCTCCTTCTCCCCTTCTTATGTGTAGGTTAAAAAAAAAAGTCATCACCCAATGTCTTAGTTATGGTTGCTATTGCTTGGATAAAATTCCATGACAAAAAGCAACTGGGGGGGGGTGGTATTTAATTGTCTGATGCCTACACATCCCTGTTCATCTCTGAGGGAAGTCTGGACAGGAACTCAAAAAGGCAGGAACCTGGAGGCAGGAGCTGATGTAGGGGCCATGGAGGGTCAATGCTTACTGGCTTGCTCCTCATGGCTTGCTCAGTCTGCTTTCTTAGAAAACCCAGAACCACCAAGCCAGGGGTAGCACCACTCACCATGGGCTTGGCCCTCCCCCATCAATCGCTAATTAAGAAAATATCCCATAGCTGGGTCTTATGGAGGTTTTTCTTCTCTATCGAGGTTCCACCCATCCAGAGAGCTCCAGCTTGAGCCAAGTTGACATAAACTAGCCAGCACACCCAGTTCCCTGCTCCTATAGTCATGCCATGGTACACTCTGGAACCATAACTCAAAATAAACCCCTGTCTCCTCTAAGCAACTATTGGTCGTGGTATTTTATCGCAACAACAGACACCAAAGACACGAAACAGGAAAAAAAAAAGACAGCAAGTAAGTACAGAATGTACTCCATCAATCTTAATAAATTTGTGAGACAAGAGATGCCAACAATAAAATAAAAGAACAATAAATTACAGGAGAATTTTTGCAAATCATGTACCTTACTTGTGCCTGGAATATAAACAACAATTTAATTCAATAAAAGATAAATTTCCCAATTAAAAAAAAACCTATCCATTGATTTGAGTCAGCATTATTTGAAGGAAAATACACAAATGACCGATAAGCAAGGTAAAAGATAGTCACTGTATTAGTAGCTAGGGAAATAAATGCAGGTCAAATTTTATGTTAGATAGCATTTATGCTCCTAGTCAAAATGCAAACAATGACCAGAACATATGAGGATGTTGAGAAGTTTTAAGTTGCATGGATGACTAGTGGACATATAAACATGGACAGCTGTCCTCAGAATGTCTGTGAAGGAATCAAACAGTCAATGGGGGATGAGCCGATGACAGAGCAGTCTAGTTCCAGCCAGGGAGAAAATGATAACTCAAATACATCTTCCAACATTGTGCATGAGTGCTTATACCATTATTCACAACAACAAAGACACTGAAGGACCCCCCTCAAATGTCCATTTATTTTGACATGATATATCAAAGTAGTATTATTTGACAATTAAAAATTAACACTTCTCATACATGATTAAGCTTAATACTGATGCATCTTTAAAACACTTACTACAAGAAAATTTCAAGAATAGTTCAGCCTATACAGATAATGGATTTCTAATTGCCTTGGTAGCCAGGGAGAAGAGGAAAGCAAGAAAGTAAGGGAGTAGGCTGCTAATGATACAAGGTGTTTAGCTTGCTTGTTTTGTTGTTTTGCTTTTGTAGAGGGAGTGATGAAAATTCTGTCAAATAAGACTGTAATCATGAGGGCGCATTTCTGTCAATACACTAAAATCCACGGAGCAGTATCCTGTAAAACAGTCACTTCAGTTGCTCAATAAGGCTGCCTTAAAATTTGGGGTTTTGATCACATAAAACATTGAACATTTTGTTTATTATCTTTGGAAAACAGATTCTTAATACACTATAACTATACATACTTTTTAAGTAAGTTTTGTATTGGGATATCCCCCAAAATTTGGGATTTATTAAAAGAGAGTCACTAATACATTTTATACATAGTCATACAAATAAATTTGTGTATTTCCCTTTAATTTTGTAGAGTTTAGTTTGAGAATATAGGGTTTGAGAAACCTACAAGTGAAAGATAAGATCTAAAACAAGGGATAAAGAGTATCAACAAAGAGTAAGGGAACACAAAGATACATTGTTAATATGTAACTGTCTGAAAATGAATGAACATGCCATCACACAGTTAATCATTAATCTGAACAATTTGGGATAAATATTGAGGCATATTTCAATGAATACTAAAATCAATGTATATTAATATTTTAAAACTTGGATTTTATTTATGCTTCCTGGAAAAGTATTACAGCTTTTCTTATAGCAATTATAATTCTTACAAAATTCTTGCAGATTTTCTTTTTAAAAAACTATCTTTGTTTAGTTACTTTAATAATTTCTGAAAAAAACATATTAAAATACCTTTTATGTGAGCTCATTTTGCAAGAATTCCCCTGTGGTATTAGACTTCAGCGTAAAATAGCACAAATGCACCTTAAACGCAATTGTTTGAATTTATACTGCATGCCAGTTTCTGTACTATTCTGTGTTGTCAGCATTCGAGGCCAATGTTTTGTGCTGAGTAAGCACCTATGAAACCATCATGCTGTGGCCTTTGGTTTGGAAAATTTCATTTGGCAATGATTTTATAGCCTAGAAACACACTAGAGAGACAAGACATACTCGAATGGTGTTTCTGTCCCCAAGAATATAAACCTGCAGTTGCAACTTATAGCAAAACAAAACAATGAGGATTAAAAAAAAAAAAAGACGATAGAAAGATTTTTCGTGCAAGTTTTATACACAGAGCACACTGTAGGAACACAAAACAAAGCAGTAGTTTTACATAGGACAATGGCTTCTGGCAGTCATCTATGCCACTGATTAGATATCTAATATAAAATTCTACATAAGGTAAAAGTATAAACAGCCACATAATTCAAAATTCTCTCCTTCAGAATTACAATAGGCTCCTACAGTCCCGTGACAACCAGTCAGACCATGAAAAAGCTTCATAAGGGAAGGTTTGCCTGGTATATCGCTCTAAGAGGCCTCTCGGGTCCAGTGCCACAGCAGGGAAGACAGCTGTGAGTCTTCACCTCGCTCCAAGCAGCTGTGGTTAAGAGTACACACATCCGGCTGCTGGCGAATCCACTAACAGACACACACCCCCATTACTCCAGACACAGTGCTGCAGAGAACTTGTGTGGGTACCTGAATAGCCCTGTGACTTGAAACCTAGAGCTCTCATACAGGCACACAAACATTACTGGCTGGTTTTCTCTTTCATGTTGCCAAGTTCTTCAAGCAAATTGCCAATTTTCTTGTTCTTACTAAGCATCCCCTGTGTTGCTGATCCTCCTGTCATGTACTGGAGTGAATTTATTTACTTATTTGGATCCTCTTTCAGGTCACTGATGATTTTTACATAAAAAAATTTTGAAAACCTTTAGAAATATTATGTATTTGTAAAAATAGTTACAATAATTGTGTGCATTATAAAATACAATTAGACGTTCAGGCAAAGTTCTCTGCAATGTTTTGGGCACAAAAAAAATGGCCAAAAAATATGAAAGAAACTTGAAGATGATGCAGGAGGCTTGACTTATTAGAAAAATATGAAAGACAAAAGATATGAAGATGTGTAGAATATGAAAAGGTGAGATTTAAAAGTTAAAGGGTTACTTGGGATCGTAGCACAAAGATGCCCTGAATGTATTCTTAAAGGGTTTGTGTAGGAGTGAACCCCACAAAGTTATCCGCCAATGAGGGTGGGGATAAGTAAATTAGCACAGGTAGAGATAAAAGGAAGCGAAAGGAAAAAGGACCTCCTCTTTTGGAAGCCGGCCACCCTTCTAACTCCCTGCTTGTGTGACTCTCTCTGGTAAATAAATATATTGTATCCCCTATAGCATTGACTATCATCATTAGGTTTGTAAATAGTTACTCCTGTAACAATTTTGGATACTAAAGAACAGAAATGAAATCTCTGGAATCCCTGTCAGAACAAAACTGTTTCTCTTTTCCTGCAAACAAAGTATAAAAAGGGTACAACTGGAGAGACTGTGTAACTATT